TTGGAGCGCGAAACCTTCTCTCCGTGGCAAAAACTCCCTCGGCAGCAAATCGTCCCTCGCGGCGGCATATTACTCGCGTCGCTCAGAGAAAAAATAACGCCGACGCCCAACAAGACTGCGAAGGAGGTTAACACAATCACGGGTTGTGTATGTCTCCATTCAAGAGCCATTGTATTGTTGAATGTGTTTCATAAGCAAATATTCTATTTAATTGTATAGAAGATAGGTGCTAGCAAATGTGCTCGGGGCCATGCACACTACTCTCCAAGCAGAGGTCTGGGTTTTGGATTATTTTGACCGTGTTTTTAGGCTTTTTTATCGAGCTTTCTTTTTTTACACTACAAGTTTTTTCCCGTTGGGTTGGGGGGAAAATTCCAGTGCAGAAAAACGGATAAAAAAGCCTAAAGACACGCCAAGAATTAGCCACAGTACATGCACACAGTTATGACGGCTGCTCCCTTTCCCAGGACCCCGACGTGCCGACCAAAATCGTCCGTAAGACGTCTGAGGAGACGAACCGGCGGGTTCTGCTGGACCCGGTGTACGACAGGACCGGGCTCAGCGAAGAGATGCAGAAGATGTGCCGCGACTACGAAATCCACAGGGTGGAGGAGATCGGGGAGGAACCCGAGATTGAGGAAGGAGAGTCAGGTATGTATAAAATACTTCTGGATAAAAAAAATCCCACCCCAACGCTTGTAGATCATTTCCAAGTATAGATGGAGTCTCTTTACAGCGCTGCTGTGTTTTTCTCGGTCTCAGGGGTAAAAGTTGTAATCTTATGCATTCTTTCAATGTCGCGATCAAAACCTTTGTGAATTTTGACGAACGTCGCTCTTTTGGGCGATAGTAAATACAAGGCATTGATTGCAAAGGGCATTCATATCTGCCATGATAGTCTTGTTGAAAATCCTACCACAAAAATCTGACAGCGCCTAAGTCTTTTCTGAAAGATCGTCGCCTGACTGTTGTCTTACTGTACATGCGGGAATGTTTCTGCAGATGCCAAGACAGGAACCTCCCGAGTTCGTCGCCAGCTTGTCATCAACTGCCCCCCGTTCCAGTGGCGTTGGCGCTGCACCCTCCGCACCAACAGCTGCATCTACTACTACACCTGCGACAGTACCCCCGGTCGCCCTGGACAGCCACCATCCAGCTATGCGTGCACTAACAACCACCTCTACTCCGGTATGGGATGGCAGTGTGAGCCGTTCTGCCCTTAGTGTCAATACACTATGCGGGCCTACCCCTTGAGTTTGTTGTCAGTAATCTGACACAGGGGTTTTGATATCAAAACGTACACGTTTTTTTCCCGAGTAGTTCTCTCACAAAAGTGTGGATGTAACGTTTTGAGGAATACCCGTGTGGTAATACTTATAATGTCCTGTTCTTGCCTGTGCACTTTATTATATTGAAAAATACATTGATGTATTTTTCTTCTACCGTATACGTGCTGTATTGGCTTGTATTCTCTATTCCGTTATTCAGTTCTTGTTCCAAATTGTAACAAGAGCTCGGATTTTATCTGTAAAAGTTCAACATATGAACCGTACACTTTTTAAAACACCTTGTTATGTGATGCCATGTCGATTGTGAAAGCTATCTTCGAAGTTCAATGCAGGTAAACGACTTAGTAGCTTGTCTTTTTCAACCAGTACCTGTTCTTTCAACTTTCATTTGAATAAAAGGGAGTTAAACCCAGAAGTAAGTGTCTTAGCATTTTTGGTAGTTGATCTCGAAGACCGTCTACTATTCGAACAGTCAAAATCAATTTATCTTACTATACCTTAGACATTTGCCTCGTAGAGTTGATTTCCTGTTGTCCTATGGTAGGAAAATGCGCCAAATACGCAACATTTAACATTGACTCCTCGAAAGTAGCGTCCCGTTGAAAGAACACACACTTGCAAGCACTATTCCTCGAACGCAGTCCACATGTTGCCCTCATCGTTCATTATCCTAGACTTGACTCGTGTGACGAACTATCCAGGTATTCAGAGATGACGCAATGTCCCGTCCCCTTTATTCACAATAGAACATCTCAATGACCCCTTTCAGTATAAGTTCAGCCTTCAATGAGAAGTCAATACCACCTGACCCTCGCGTGTCAGTTTAACGTGTTGCCTGTTTGCAGTTGTAACCTAATATCTAGACGCCATGATGTTTTCACCTGTGCGGTGAAAAACAACCGGGGGAGATACATGTATTCAGTACCGCGCGTCGTATGTATACAAGAGAGGGTAGAAACATGGATTTAACACCATAGAAGTCCTAAAACATAAACAGGTAGGTGCAGTACATATCTATATTGGATTCATGAGTTAGGAAGGTGCAGTATCTATGCCGAGAAATTTCGAGGTGTTTGTAACTGACTAGAGGTTTGATGTTGACTTCGACGTGCTCGATTTTAATTCTTTGTTCTCTTATAATTATAAAATTACAAACAGAAACCAAAACTTGTTTTTCTGAAATGATCCTTTGAGGCGACGCCAACGCTACTTCAAATCAACGGATGAAGTGATAAACATGTTTTTCGGTTGGATATTTTTCGGGGAAAAGACTTCCCGGTACGTTGTATAAACAATGGTAATGAACTCAGTCCCTATTGTCCAGGTGCTGCCATGTTTGTGACCCCATGACCATGACCTAACACAGACTTGACATTGGTGTAGAATAACTGTTTGTGCCGCGCTGTAAACATCATCGCGGTGATAAACACCTGCCTCAACTTACTGAAATTCCAGGTATATCACCCCTTCTAAACATTTGTTCAGCCTTCAACTTGAAGTCAACACTTGTGAGGTCGTGTGGCGTAGCGGCAGAGTGCGCGACTCGGAACTGAGAGTCCCGGGTTCGAGTCCTGACATGAGCCTGCTGACATGTCACATGCCACATGGCACTTAACACGGCTTTCCTCACTTAGCTCAGGTGTAAATGAGTATTGTCCTGTCATGTATTTGTCCCCTGTGTTGGTGGCGGCATTAATATAAGTTGAAGAAACTTGAGTGTGTCGTCACCACGTCTGGTCATTACATGTTGGAATAAAAAAAAAAAGAAGTCAACACTATTTGACTCTCGCGTCCCAGCAGAACGTTTTACCTGTGTACGATCGTAACCGGTACCGAATATCCTTACGCCATGATGTTTTCACCTTGTGAGGTGAAGAACAACCAGATGTAACAATCCTGTACCCTGCGTCGCACGTCAACTGGTGAGGATTGAAATAAAGAGTGTAGCACCATATGCCGTGAAGACCTAAAAACACACAGGTAGGCTTTGTACGCATTCAGATGTTAGGGTAGAGACTGGGTTTTGGTAGAATTGGCGATTCTGTCGGTACACTGAGATCCTGATCGGAGTCTCTGTTAACAGAAACTCAGATCGGATTATCTGTTAGTAGATATCCCAATCGGTGACCCTGCTGGTACAATCTGTGCTGCGTTTCATAAATGTATTGTATTAAAAGTAATATAGCTTTCATGCTACTATATTGGCGTCTCTACCTAATACATTGGATTCATGAGTTAGGGGGATACAGTATATATTATGTATATTCCGAGGTGTTTTTAAAACTGACTGCCCGTTTGATGTTGACTTCGACGTGCGTGATTTTAATCATTCGTTTCCATAAAATTTACACAGAAACCAAACTTGTTTTTTGTTAATGAAATGATCCTTTGAGACGACGCCAACACTACTTGAAAACAACGGATGAAGTGATAAACATGTTTTTCAATTGGATATTTTTCGGGGAAAAGACTTCCTGGTACGCTATATCAGTAAGGGTAATGAACTCAGTCCCTATTGTCCAGATGCTGCGATGTTTGTGTACTACGTGACCTGATGACCTATAACGGCAAACTTAATAATTGAAATTGGTGTACAATAACTGTTTGTGTCTTGGTGAAAAACACTCATGGTAAACGTCTGCCTCAACTTACTGGAATTCAAGGTATACGACAGGAAACGCGTCATACTAGTAACATAATAGTAACGTTATCCAGTTATTTTCTTCACTTTGTAAACACAGTGACAGTGAATTATATTTTGGAATGAAAGTGAAAATGCATTGTGTATACTTTCAAGGTCTCAAAACCTGTATTTTTTCAGTTTTGCGATGTTTCTACGCACGACAGCTAGCTTGTAACTTTTGTTGTTTGACACGTACAGTTTTGTATATATTTGTGGAATACAAAGTCGTATCCAGAAACCTGGAAAATCTGGTAGAGGCTAATATTCCACCACTCCAAAACCCTAACTACATGTAGGTGGGGTGCATGAAGGATCCATGATTTTTTTTACCTCCATGCTTGATGCTAGTACCGGTATACAAGGTTCATTTCGGAACTTTTTCTTCCGAAAATAAACTACCAGGTATAGCACAGAAAATATATCTCTATTCAAGTAACTATTGCAGTATGCTCAGAATAATCTTCAAGCAGATATTTTGGTGGCTGCAGGATAGTATCATTCAGGGTGGCACCCAATAAAAACGCCTTAAAGGCATCCAATGCGATTTTAGAGCAGGAACAATGGAAACATTCTAAACAAGTAAAATCTGAGATTTTATACCTCCGGGCTTTTTATTGTATATTTTTATATAGGGCTTTAGACAAAGAATTTATCGAGACCGGACACCCCTCTGTGTGAGGGGTCATATACGTGGACCAGACCGAGAATATATAATATACGCCAAAGGTCAACGGTCGCGACCACTTTCGCGCTCAAAGGGGTGTTTTGGGGCCACCAAAAGGCACGATTTTCACGCCCGAAAACACATATACAATAAAAACAAAAGAACGTGCATCATCTGCAGCCCGAATATCAAAACACATACCGAGTCTCAAAAGAATCCGTCCACCCAAACGCGAGAAACAGCTGCGAACATGAAAATCTAAATCTATCACAAAACCCTTCCGCGGAAGGATGTCTCCTCCCCCGGAGGTAATAAGGCAATCTTTGTGATATTGACACATACTGCCCCACATTAGCACATTTCAATCAGTATTTAATAGTTTGGAGATTTAAAACTGCAGAAACAAGCCCCAAGATGAGTCCTTTATTTTATGGGTGGTACCCTAAAATCAACCCAGAGACCTTCCATGACCATTTTCCGTCAGAATTTGGGGTATTTTTGCTCCAAGGGGGTGAATATACATTGGGAGAGTGTGGTTTCAACTCAGTATGTAGATAAATGAGTAGATTATTGACTTTGAAAAATCGTGTTTCCAAGCCCTAAAAACTGCATTGGATGTCTTTAAAACACGTCAAAAATAATCCGAAGCCTACAGCTATGCTTGGACAGTATCCAGACACTTGCATTAGCGATCAATAGTTTCACTGTTGTGCCCGTATGAAGTGGACCTGTGTATTTTTTAGATCCGTTTCCTTGTGCGTCACTAAGTACCGGCCGTGAAATCACAGACAGGTACGGCTGTCGTGCAAGCCTGCACATGTGACTCGGTTTAACAAAATTCCAGGAATACGACAGGGAATATATACGGACTCTATTCAACTATTGCAGTATACAGAGGCTAATCTTTAAGCAGACAGATCACCCAGTACAGACCGTGAAATCCCAGACAGGTACGGCTGTCGTGCAAGCCTGCACATGTCACTCGGCTTAACAAAATTCCAGGAATACGACAGGAAATATATAAATACGGACTCTAGTCAGTATACCGAGACTACTCTTCAACAGATCACCCAGTATCGGCCGTGACAGGTACGGTTTTTGTTTGTTTCGCATAACCGGTAAACCGCTTAGTTTAGGCGTAACACACCAATTTTGTACATGTACAAGCTGCGTAAGACCAGACTGTAAGGTTTGAACCACTCACACCGGGAAGGTCCCCTACTCTTTTCGATAAGTGCGGTGGGTTCTTTAACGTGCGTGGGGTGTGACTGTCCTCAAATACGGGACCTCCTATCCGAAGCTAGGTACTCATTTCTACATGAGTATAAAGTTAGAAAAGTCGTGTAAAGTGCCTTTCACAACTGGGCACAAGATCGGTGACGGATTGTCGAACAATTTAAGGCTACACATGTGGCTCTAGCCAGCAGTCGTCTTGCCAGGTTAGATAGCAACAAGCAATTCTACGACGAGTTTAGCAAAGTAAAGAGGAATAGGCTAAGGTAAGTCTCTATATTTAGGGAGATGATGATCTAATACTGAAACGTCTAGATCTACGACACAGTTTTCCTTTTGAAATGTCCATATTTTGTATCGCTGCTCGTTAACTGTTAGCAGGGTTACAATTTACGTGCTTATAATAATTATATATTAAAGTTACTTAAGCCACTATGACACAATTCGCTTTGAAATGTCTATTCTAGCACTGCTTGTATAAGCAAGGCTACCAGTTTACGTGCAGGACAGTTTATGGTCATTTATCGAGGTGTACCATGCAAAAATCAAGAGTCATGAGCAATAGAGAATAACATAATTACGATGAATTTTATTTATTCAATGCATGGAAATATTTTGCAGCCAGCGACACAACAGCCTTTTGGGAATATCTTCCGAAAAGACGAGTCAGTTTTAGTCTTGAAAACAAGTTTTGGAGCAAGTAATTTAGGTTTGGAGTTTGCTTCAAGGAGTTTTATGAGACTTTTTAGTTGATTTATAAACTCTGAGTACCATGCGAGGGATCTGGGAACGAGAACGGTAATCACGTGATGAACGAGAGTTACCTAAGTGCGTACCCGGAAGTTCATTTTCAGGAAAATATTATACGAGACAACTTAAATTATGCCTACTGTTGTCATGTTTGAACAAGACAGATGGATGATTTTGGACATCGCCAGTCAGGGTGTAGACGTTCGTTGGTGTCTTGGTTGCTTTCTAATGCCTTCTATACCTTATTAAAGGAGAAACGATTAAGGTAAGTAAGGACAGATTTTGACTCAAATGAGCAGGGCACCGTGTACTCTTGTGGCGCTGGGCGGGCGAGGGTGAAACTGGTGACCGAGCAAATTTCTGTTGCGGGCGGTAGTCATGACAGGGTACCCTCTACTTTGTTTGGCTGATAAACCAAACATTTCTTAATCTTAGACAATGTGGCTACCACGTTCGACTATTTCAGGAAGGCCTAAACCAATTGGCAATACCGAATACGCGTAACATGGTAGCCTCGGAAGGATACAATAAGACCGTTGTATTGAAACTGTGTTTATTTTTTTGGCTTAGTAAAAATACTTCGCTACCTAGGATGGTCTGTCTGCGTTTCTTCCACGTCTCCACTTGTACGATTCAGGCTTGGATTACTACTTTGACGAAGAATCAGTACAGTTTATGAGAACCATATACCTCAGGTGTTAATCGTTGTCCGAGATTTGACTCAACATTTGAGTTGTTTTACGTTCCTGAAAACCTGAAAACGGAGGCATTGTTTTTTTGTCTATTTTGTTTTCAGATATTTTGTGGGCAGTACTTGAGAAGTTAATTGTAAGGTTGTAATGTTGATTTCTTTGCCCCAGTAGCAAAGTCATAGTAAACCTTACACAGAGCCAAGTGACTTTGTGAGTTGATGGCATTCAGTACCAGGGACAGGGAATGTTGTTCAAGCGTGTATGCATGTTCTTATATCTCTTATCTCATGAAGTTGGACACATACAATTGTATTATGTTCTATGTATTATATGTCCTTTGTTCTACGTTATAAGATGTTAACGTTATAAAATTTGTTTCTCTTATGTTATTTAAGTTACCTTGTTTTTGTATTCAATTTGTAACCTGCGTTATTTGATACCTTTGTTAATCTTGAGTTCATTTTGTTAATGAATTTTGTTTGGGGTTTTCCCCCAGGAACCTTTGAAAATTGCCATCAGGCGACATGTGTTCTCCTGGTTAAATAAATAAACAAACAAACAAAAAAACAAACAAACAAAATATCATCTGAAACCCATTCTTTTATTCTCTTTCCAGCACAGCAACATGTATGTGAAGCTTGTTGCACTCCTGTTACTGCTGATACACATGGTGTTCAGCAACAAGCCAGCCCTGGAGAAGACCTGGGCAGTACAGCTGGAGGGTGGGAGGGAGGAGGCTCAGCGCATAGCACAGCGGACAGGGGTGACTCTGGTCAAACAGGTGTGTTTCCTATGTAGTTATTAAGTAATAATAACGTAGTTGGTATATTGAAATTTGCATACTTGCCGAAAATAGAAGTGTTCAAACATATTATGACATCCAAGCGCTATGATATAATTGAAAAACTATGTAAATTTGTTCATACATGTTTCAAAAAGAGAGAGGAGATCCTGTAGTTAGATCCTGTAGATAGAGAAATAGCACACAAATGTAACAATTGCTTCTTCTATTCTTATTACCAAGTTATTTAACTTAAGTGCATTTGGCCCGTGTAGGGCGTGAACATGCAATAAAGTTCATTGTCATTGTCATTGTCATTATATGTAGTGTTGTATATATAGTAGTTATTAAGTAAATATTGTGTAGTTGTTATATCGTAGTAAGTGTTGTATATGTTGTAGTTATTAAGTCTCTCTTGGCTTGGCTTCGTGACCGAAGATTAAGTAATGATAGTGGAATTGTTGTGTTGTATTTATTATGATGTTATTTTAATGTACAGGACTCCAGGACGAGAAGTGAAGAACTGTTAGTTTTTCGTAATAAACATAAACATAAGACCAATTGTGTTAAATGTTACCAGTTTGAGCAATGAATGTGTACATATTAGGCATAGCATTAATTGACATTGTCCATGATTTTTGCTTGAAGATACATGTAGTGCAGGAATATGATCATTATGATAATGTTAAGCCTTTGAAGAATGAATTTATACATCCAATGTTTTAGGATTCTGTTAGGCTAATGCATGTTTTCAAGTGCTTCAGGTCTTAAATGTAATACCAATAGAAAGTGATGCCTAGATACATCTAATAGCTGTTAGATTATTGATGAAATTCACTAGAGTGCCAATTGTAACTTTTGTTTACTTTTATTCATATTTTATGATACATAATAAGCTGGCCCCCTTGGAAAACAGCCATTGTAGGCTGAATGGGGTTCCGTCTTAAGATCAATAAATTAACAAATGAATAAATATATTTATATGGCAAAGCGATTGATAAATGAGTCAATTTCCTAAAATGATGTTTTTGCAGCTTTAATATGTAATATTTTCATCAGATCATTGTTATTCATGTACTTCATTTGATTTAAATCCAAATTAGTTGCATTTTTAACTGCTAATGATTGAGAAAAATTTACTGAGCAGCCTGAATGAATCTCAATATGAATCTCAATATGAAATGTCTTTTCTTGCAGATACTTGGAGACTACTATCTCTTCAAGGAAAACAACAATGTAAGACGAGCTCGTCTTATGGATAAGGAAAGTGAAAGGCGTCTAAAGGATGAACATTCTGTAAGGTTTCAAACATTTTTTTTGGTTAAAGACCTTCTATAGCATCCCACTACATTCTGAAATTCAAATAAATGTTTGATTATGAATTGAAGCAAAAATTCAATTCTGCTACATGTGATGTTATCAAAATGACACATATATTATGATACCTGTTTGTATTGAGTAAAGAAACTCATTGCATACTGTTAAACAGTTGCACTTTTGATCAATTGCTTACGTCACATATCAGTAAAGTCTCATGTGAATAAGTTATGTGTCTGTAACCATAACTCACGTGAGATTTTGAAGTGGTTGATCATTTATTATCCTGATGAAGGTGACAGTGGTCGCTGAAAATTTTATCTCTGTGTAACTTTATTTTTGAATAAAGTTCAAAGTTTTACTATGATTACTACCAACACAGATAAACTTTCATGATTGATTGCATACTGCTTATTTGAATGATGCAGGTAAAAATGGTGAAGGAACAGCTTCCTCACACCAGGGAACTTTATGTGCATGAAGAAGGGCATCAAGGTGTGGTCTTTAATGACCAGATGTGGGGCTCTCAGACATACTTGGTAAGTTCTTATTTCCCTTCTTCTAAGTTCTTCTTTTTCTTCTTTCTGTTAGGCGACTGCCTTCATCTAGTTGAAGATTCTGTCGCCATGTGTATTGTGAGTTGCTGGGCAGGGGGGGGGGGTGATATCGCAGAGGGAGGTACAGCTGGGACTTGAAGCCCTCCAAGGTGGAACAGAGGGCTATGTTGGATGTCCAAGTTGATTGACAGGTGTCAAAATTTGTACCTGAGACAGATCGACAGAGGAAAAGAGAGAGGAGTAGAGAGGGAGTAAGATGTCTACAGACAGTCCACCATTCATTGACAATTACATTGTGTACAAGGAATGTCCTAGAAACGTTGGTGAAAAAAATGAGAAAGAGTGTAATCCTGGAAATGTCATCGAAAAATGAAAAATAGAGTCTTTTTTTATATATCCTAGATGCAATAATTGTGCAACAGCAATGAAACAGTTGCTATCTCTCACATAAAATGTTAACTAAAAGACTTAGTATTGGTGGCTTTTGATGTAACATCCGTGTCCATAATATCACCAGGGTCCATCATATCGCCACCTTGAGAAATAGTGTGCTTTAAGATATTTTTACTGCAACATACTTTTGGTATGCACTCCTGCACACCTCAAATGTACATAGTTACCTGGGGTATGTTGCAGTAAAAATATCTTTAAGCACACTTTTTCTCAAGGTGGCGATATTATGGACTATGGTGATATTATGGACACAGATTATAATGATATTTTATCTGGTGTGCTTGTTATGTTTCAAACTCAACCTATATCATCTTTACATTCTACACATTCTTGTGCCTGTAGATCACAGTTCTTCAACTTTGCACTGCCCCTACATTTATTTTCCAGTGCCTTTCTTCTATCTCTGGCTCTATATATGCAGCAGTGGCTGAGTTTGTGTGTCAGGCACACTTGTACAGGTATAGCTCACCTTGCATAATTATCTGCATTGCATTTCACTTTGTGATACAATCCTGCTTTTCTATATGCCATTAAGTAACTATGGTTCAGTACATTATGACTACCTATAATTCAGACTTCTTATATCTTACTGCTTCCTAACAAATTATGCAAATTTATGTACAACTAATTGTACTTGAGGACATTATAGTCTATGTAAAGCCTCTTTATATATTAACTACTTAATTCACATTTTAAATTTTGTAGTTTTTATCTCTTTACATATTGTATAATTGTAAATGTTGGCTCAATTCATGTTTTAAATTTCATAGAACATGTCATACCAATGTCAAGAAAGCTGAATCTTAATCTTACAATACAACTCTGGACATATTCTGCCAGTTACTGTTCCAGAAGTTATTTTTATTCTTTATAAAACCCCCTATTTTAGCACACTGGAGATGTACATATGAACATCCTACCAGCCTGGGAGAGAACACGGAAGGGAGAAGGGCTGGTGGTGGGGGTGATCGACGATGGAATCTTTACCAACCAACCTGACCTGCGAGACAATCTGGTGAGATTCTTTAATTCTTTAAGTAAGCAAAGAAAGTCTTCATTGGGATTCATAAAACAGTTTTTCAAGGGGTAAAATCAGAATAGATTTTGTTTAGAATTCAAATCTTTAGTGCAAATGTATATAACTTCTCTAAACAATCAGAAGGTCTTACTACAGTAACTGTCTGACTTACTACAGTAACTACAATAACTTAACTTTTGACTGTCAGAGTATATAAGACCTACATGTGCAACATACATGACATGAAATGTATCTGTAGGCAACTGGTGGGTGTAGAATTAACTAGCAAATAGATGTTTTCTAATGAGAACATTTGATTGCTTCCCTGCCATAAATGCTATGAATGTATTGACTAGACTGATTAAATCAGTGTTGCAAAAGCACCACCTTACTGTGGAGAGGTGAACTGCATGTTGTACTATGTAGGATTAATAAGAGGGCCTGGTACTTTTTCGTAAGGCGTAATCAGGCCGTTTTAGACTTCGTAATTCGTAGGCAGCCTCCGCAAAAATCAACGTAATTCGTAATTAGACATTAGCCGCAAATCGTAAAGTCGTAATCAGCTCTGAGACTTTAACGTAATTCGTAATAGGCGGCGAAATGTTTGCGTAATTCGTAATCACTACCCCCCCTTGCAGGCCCTCTAATAATGTTGTTAACTCATCCATCTTTGTGAATCTTCAAGTGTTTTTCTGTATGTATCAATTAGTGTCAAGCATGACTTTTGGATATTATATTAACATTTTCAATTCCCTTTCAATAATTTTCCTGGCTCTGAGGTTACTTTACTTGTAAGAATGTGAAGAAAAAGACTGCGACTTCTAACCTGTTTTTCATTCATGCTTCAGGCTGCTGGTTTGTCGTACAATGTCCTAGAAGAGACAACAGACCCAACACCAAGCTTTCCACAGGCAAGGTGAAAGCTAGGACAGATTTTTGACTATATTTTCTTACACACTTGATTTTAATACACTGTAATTTGAGTATAATTTTATTATGTAGAAAGTTTTGTCTTCAACTGTTACTTATAAGATCAGCATACCATGGCAGTCAAAATAAAGACATGTTACTTTGTTCTTGTCTTGTTTTAGCCATGGTACCAACTGTGCAGGAATCATTGCTGCAGTTCACAACAACAGCTTCTGTGGTGTGGGAGTGGCTTACAAGGCCAAGGTTTCAGGTACATTTTGAGAGTCAAGTTTCAAAACGATACAAGAATTAACTCAGTAACTTAGAAATACAAAAATTCAGCTCAAACTAAACATAACAGTAAAGTCATGTTAAAAATAAGATAGTGGTTTGGTTGGTTTTTCTTTGATGCTCATGATCTTGATCATTCAGGCATACTCATTTTCACCTTAGGGAACTGAGAAAGTCATGAAAAGTGCCTTTCCCAAGGGCACAAGATTGCTGAGTTAGCAGGATTTGAACCCAGGACCTCTTGGTTCTGAGACAAATGCTCTGCCGTTAGACCACACAACCCCACTCATAGCATAATATGATTGTATTGCAATCTTATTATACCAACTGCAATGTTCTGACGGTTATATGACTATAAATGTCTTGCCCCAGGTATCAAAATGTTTGCTGGTGCCCAGGCAGAGTTGTCTGATGCACAGGAGGCATCAGCCCTCAGCCATCAGTACCAGAGCATCAGTGTTTACTCCTGTAGCTGGGGTCCATCAGACTGGAACAACGCACTGGAAGGGCCTGATACCGTCGCTAAAGAGGCACTAGTCATGGCTGCACGAGAGGTATGGAAATGGAAATAATGGAAATCATGAAAGTTCATCTGTGTTGGTAGTTACATGTTTGAAGTTAAAACTTCTTGGTCCAACACAAAAAAGTCCTCTCACCTAGGTGAGAGCACTTTTTGGACCAAAAGTTGGACCAAAAGTTTTAACTTTTAACAGGTACAGAAATTTTCAAATAATGCATACAAAAATCTTTAGATACAAGATGTCTCTAGGACAAGAATTTTGTTAGCACTGGCAAGTTACAATGTTGATGTTGAATTGTCAACCATTACAATTATAACATTACAGAAAAATTGCTTCTGCATAATTTTCACTTGACAAGGAAAGCTATGTTTTCAATCCTGCAAAAATCTTTTAGACATTAAATGTTACTGCAGACCACACTATATCTTCATTCCTTTTTTTCCCTCTCAGTTTGTAAAACATAGATTTAAAGTAAGTTGAACCAAAAGTAATGATATCTTTGGCAATCTAAATAAACTTTGCTATAAATTACTTGCATGATTGTTATACATTTGTACACTGTTCACTGGTATAGAGGTATAATACATGTACATATTGATTTTTTAAAATTATACTGTTCTCCAGGGCAGAGATGGTAAAGGTTCAGTATTTGTATTCTCTACTGGTAACGGTGGATCGTTGAACGACAGCTGTGCGTACAACGGATATGTCAACACCAACAACACCATAGGCATCGGAGGGCTGCTTCAGGATGGCTCCATCCCCAGTTTTGCTGAAGCCTGCACCAGCGTTTTTGCTGTGACGTTAAGTAGAGACTACACAGGGGACACTGCTAATATGGTGAGATCTCTCATTGTACAAAATATGATTGTTTAAAGTGCAATTTGTTGGAAAGTATCAAAATCATGAGCTTGGGTACAGGTTTTTGAGTTTGCAGGTCATAGAGTGCAATTGAGGAGTGAAGAAGTGATCATGAATTGCTTTAAAAATGCTGCAAAAAATTCAAAAGAAGGCTTATGCCAACATTTTGCATGAGGTACACCTTTTGAATGAGGTACACCTTTCAACAATTTGCATGATGTACACCTTTTGAATGAGGTACACCTTTCAACATTTTGCATGAGGCACACCTTCCAACATTTTGCATGAGGTACACCTTTCAATCTTGCATCACAGATTGTGATTGTGTGTGTTTTTACCTCAGGTTGTCCCCCACAGAGCAACAGGCTGTGGCATGACCTTCTCTGGAACATCCCCTGCTGCAGCCATGGCAGCTGGGGTCTTCACACTTGTGCTGAGTGCAAAGTAAGATCGTGTCATTCCTAACACTTGGGATACTGAGTTATCTATATGCCTTTTTAAAAGTTCATAATTTCAGCCATGCCGTAAAATACCATCTCATTCCTGCAGCAAAAGATTGCTTTTAAATTAATATTTCTTTATTCCATTCGCAAATGGAATAAGTTGCCCACCTAGGCCATACAGGCACAGTCAGTAGAGGCCTTTCGGGCTTCCTTGCCGTAAGGTCCCCGCACCTCCCCTCCCCTCAGTGACACCCCTTGCGGGGTGGTTGGAGGGTATCGAAGATGAAGATGAAGACTCACAACACAGTAGACCTATCTGGTAGCCCCAACCATCTCGTTACACCATGTTAAAAAATGTACATCAAAACAGAAGACAAATTATTTATTAGACAAACAAAATCCCTTACAACATTTCCTCCAGTACTAGTGGCTATACTAAATAAGACATTGACTGTTTCAGTGACCAACTCTCAGTACGGGATGTCCAACATCTGGTCACTCGCACCTCCACAAACACCGGGGTCTGTGGTCAGACTTGGAAGGAAAACTCTGCTGGATTCAGAGGTTAGTCTAATCCCCTCAATCTGTTTCTTCAGATACCAGTCAAATCCCTGAAACCTGTACCAGTTGAAGGTCTAAATCTGCAATGAACAGCACAAGACACTAACTTAAAGATATTTTGATAATTTGAGTTAAAATGTGGACAGAAAGACTGCCCCTATGGTACTATCTCACGGTACTGAGACAGTCAGTGAGTGAAGTTAGAATCTACAATATTGTAGAACATGGAATCCAATATGTTTCTATGTATATACAACATGTATTAGAATAAGCCACAGCACCATACATGTATTCAGTACTCTATACAATGTCATGTTTTTAAATAACTCTGTTTTCCCAACTAACCAGTGAGTGACTACTGTGGATTTGGTCTGCTTGATGCTGGGAAATTAACAGCAATGGCTGCCAACTGGAGCTGTGTACCGGAACAAGTCAGCTGCACTCAACAGGGGGAGGGTGCAAGGTAGAATATCAACTTCTTATCATTGAGGACAGATATATACATCAGTCTGAAAAAACTTATGCATGTAGCCAATGTTTGTCCCTTAGACACACAGAATTCATATTAAGTACACACAACCAGATCTGAGCGTAATACATGTACATGCACTCATATACACACACATCCTTACCTGTCCTTGGTGCTGAACTCAAGCCAGGCAAATAGGCTTTGTGCTGTTTCTGATGCTAGATACCATCCTTATACAGACTGCTAGGCCCATTTTTGTGCCAGGCATACAATGTTGTCCTTGGAATTGATCGTAATACTCACAGACATGTTCATACAGCCATTCCTATCCTTGGTGCTGAATGCCATTGACTTGCAGGCAAGGGGACTTTGTGCTATGTTCTATGATTAGTATGTGAATTTGTCTTTCAAAATGAACACTAATGCATGCACACCAAGAAATATATGCCTGCACATCCATACCTGTCCTTGGTGCTGAATGCCATCTACTAACAGGCAAAGAGACTGTGTGCTAATACTGTGTGGTGTGTACCTGAAACTGAACACTAATTCACACATACACAGACATGCACACACATTTAGCTGGGTCTGTCCCTGGTGCCGAATGCCATCCACACACAGACAATGACACTTTTGAGCTGTTAAGTGTGACCTGTGTATAAACTTGTACCTGGAACTGAACACTAATGCACACATACACAGACATGGTACACATTTAGCTAGGTCTGTCCTTGGTGCTGAATGCCATCCACTCAAAGGAAGAGAGATTAATATTTGCTCTAATGCTGTGAACTTAAAACTTCCTGAAACTGAACACTAACATGCATAAGCATGCTTACACACAGCTTGACCTGTTCTTGGTGCTGAATGCCATTTGCTCTTATTTTGGTGCTGTTATACATGTACTTTCTGCTCTAATCCAAATTCTTGTGGAAATGAACATGACAGCACAGAGATCTGTTGACTGTGATGACTTAATTCTGTTAACAGCAGACTAACAGACATTAATACACTAATTATTGTCTTTTTTCCATCCTGATAATCCTACATAGATGATATGTCATGCCAATACTTACATCATTTTTTGTGTTTGTTTCTCTTCTTCACTACAGCATAAACATTCCTCAGAGTGGTGAAGTCCTTACAAGCATCACCGTCCAGCAAGACAGCTGTGGGGTCAACTACTTGGAGCACGTCTTACTGACCGTCAGGGCCACCTTCCCCCACCGTGGTCACCTGCAGTTCAGACTGACCTCTCCAGGGGGCACCGTTTCCGACATCGTTCCCGGGAGAGCCACGGACATGGAGGCACACTTGGAGTGGACGTTCATGACAGTCCACCACTGGGGGGAGAGAGCAGAGGGCAGCTGGCAACTCTCCATACGAAACACACATCCTCACCTTAGTAATACAGGTAGGTACACAAAAACAAGCATGTACATTCAGTTGGACCTGTCCTTGGTGCTGAATGCCATCCACTCATAGGCAAGGGTACTTTGAGCTGTTTACTGTGACTTGTGTGTAAACTTGTAGCTAGAACTGAATACTAATGCACAAATACACAGACATGGATATACATTTAGATGGACCAGTCCTTGGTGCTGAATGCCATCCACTCACAAGCAAAAAGATCTTGAGTTGTTTACAGTAACTTGTATGTAAACTTGTACCTCAAATTTTTGAACTTTGAAAATACAAATGATCAATAATTATTTAAATTTATTTTTCAGGAATTCTAGAGGGCTGGTCCCTTGTCTTCCTAGGAACTGCCACAGACCCTGTCAACTCCAGCACTGGTACAGACAGCACACCAGGCACAGATACAAGTGAGAGAAACACTAATAACTGTCATGTATCAGACAATTCAGAAGGACAAACAGGGATACACTTTGGTGTCTGGATCGGTATAGGTGTTGGCAGTTTTGTCATCGTTATTTCAGGTATTGTTGTAGGTGTAGGTGTTAAGAAAAGGCTCTTCTGTCCAGCTAGAAGTGAGTCAGTTGCATCAGCTCCATATGTTTCAGATCCAAACAATGTAGGCATTGCCTAATGGATACTTGCTTAACATCTGTGTCCATAATATCACCATAGTCCATAATATCGCCACCTTGAGAAAAAGTGTGCTTAAAGATATTTTTACTTCAACATACCCTAGGTATGTACATTTGAGGTGTGCAGGAGTGCATACCAAAAGTTTGTTGCAGTAAAAATATCTTAAAGCACACTATTTCTCAAGGTGGCAATATTATGGACCCTGGTAATATTATGGACACGGATGTTAGTGCAAGTGCAATAAACTCTCATACTCTTTAGGATTTTCTGTGTCTACATTAGCTGAGGATACAGTTTCATATTTTAAACTTAACTGTAATATAATTCAATTAACTCTGTCAGTATATGATAACTATCTGTTTTTAAGGGTCCATGAGATCAGTTGTTGCTTCAGATTTCTTCACTTATTGTTGCATGTTTCATATATCAGTGTTGCATGTCAAAACTGTATATTTATACAAAATGTGTATTTATATGTACACATGTACATTAATAGTACAAAGGAAAGTTTTCCTAGATGTAAATAGAGCTTCTATTAGTGTTAGGATTTGATCATAATCAAGATTTACCAATATGTACATGTACTAATTGAAAGTTAAGATAACAATTTCGTTTTCAAATTTTATTGGTAAGGAACAACAGAAATATATTAAATGGTTCAAGATGTTTATAGTATTTATGAAAATATGACACATATATGTCATGTCTTCAGTGTGTGCGATACTAGAATGTAATATTGTAGGCATATTTTTGCAAAAAAAAAACACCCCGTTGGAATAGCTGGTGTAGTTTGTAGTAAACAAAAAGTAATGGCATTGGCTGCTATGTCTTAAGAAATGAATAAATGTTTATTTCAAGACAAGTCTGTCATATGCTTCTTTTGTTTAGTTTTTTTTTATGATGCAAGGAAGAAATTTCTGCTTTTGATAATGAATAATGAGCAAAAAGATGGCAAGAATGTGCCTACATGAACGAAGGTAATCTGTTTAATTTGTTTTATCAACATCATCAAAGTTTTGATGGTTTTCTTTACGCCAATTTCTTCCATTATTTATCCTGCAATTTTTATACTGCTTATGATTGTAATTCTTTGTGTTTTAATTTTCAGCTCCAACGAGTGTCAAGACTTCTTCACCCTCATCAGAAGTTTTCACAAGAAAGTCGACTTCTTCAAGATTGGGAGCACAGACCACTGATGGACAAACAACACAACCAACTACCACAAAGTTACGCACAACACAACCAACTACCACAAAGTCACACACAACACAACCAACCACTGCAAAGTTACGCACAACACAACCAACTACCACAAAGTTACGCACAACACAACCAAGCACCACAAAGTCACACACAACACAACCAACCACTGCAAAGTTACGCACAACACAACCAACTACCACAAAGTCACACACAACACAACCAACCACTGCAAAGTTACGCACAACACAACCAACTACCACAAAGTTACGCACAACACAACCAAGCACCACAAAATTGCAAACAACACAACCAACTACCACAAAATCTCCCACAACACAACCAAGTACCACAAAATCTCAAACAACACAACCAAGTACCACAAAATCTCCCACAACACAACCAAGTACCACAAAATCACACACAATACAACCAACCACTACAACATTGCACACAACACAACCAAGTACCTCAAAAGTACTCACAACACAACCAAGTACCACAAAATTGTACACAACACAACCAAGTACCACAAAATTGTACACAACACAACCAAGCACCACAAAATTGCACACAAGTACCACAAAATTGCACACAACACAACCTACCAATGTAAAAACACAAACAGTTACAGAAATCATCCACAAGCCTGCTCAGAGAGAAAATCTAAATACTCTACTCCCTGGCATAAATATCCCTGCATCTGCAGTTATCATAAGTGTTATTTGTATTATCATAATTGTTGCAATGGTATTTGCAATCTGGCATTGTCGCCGATGCAAGCATAACTCACTTCATGTAAAAAACGGAAACCCTCCAGTTTTACAAGCCCCAATGTCTAAGGTGTCTTCACACTCTTCTAGACACAGATCACCTCAGGTATCCAACTTGTACTCTTCTGAACAAAAACCACCGAAAGAACCCAACTGGCAGTTGCACTCTCATAGATACAAAGTAGGAAATGAGGAGGTCCAAATCACTTTTATTTAGCACTGGACAGTACTGCTAAGGCCACACCAATTCAATTCAAATTTTTGCAATGTAACAATGCAATTTTGTTTCATTAAAAGTTCAAAATCTATTGTTTTAATTATAAACTAGCCTGGTATGTTTACTTCATGGCTCATATAGCAACATTTCTTGCTATCATGGGGTGCCTTGGCCAGTTTTTTTATTTATTTTGCCCTGTCGCTTCATATTGTTTCTGAAAAAATCCGAGAAACAACAAATTAAATTGGTGTGGCCTAAACACGTGGATTTCCAGTATAACAATCACAACAAAGATGCTTTCATTGCAAGTATTACTATCTACATGTAGTTGCAGTTGGTAGTACTCCTGTCTATCTCCACTACTGCACTCTCACTTTCATATTCTACTGGAGATATAATAAAAATGGACATTAAACCTTTAAATAGAAAATGGCTCTTTTTTATATGACTGGTGCATTGAAGGTACATAAATTATTATTGCCATTATCATTATTTATTGTATCCCTATGTTACTGTTTGTATGTGACTATTATATTTTGTTTGTAAAACAGGGCCCCATTGAAAAGAAGTGTAATCACTTAATGGGCCACCCTGTATGAAGATGACAGAAAATAAAAAATAAATAAAAATGTTTAAAGTATGTGCATTGAAGGTAAATGTTGACAGTGTGTGAAAGAACATCATATTGACACATTAATTTTCACACAAACCTATACTCCATTGTCTAAGACACTTTTATTACCCGTGCCAAAAAAAAATACAAACAAAATGTGCACAACACTAAGTTCTAACTGTACAGTAGCAAATATAGACAGAACATTATTACACTCTTGAATCGTGGACAATTTGCTAAACAAGGCATTTATTTGGGGAAGCAACGAACAAGTGCATTGATTTGCATAGTGATTCTAAATTCTACTCCTAGTATCAAATATATCATAATATACAGCTAAAGCTGGTAGCCACATTATAGATATTTTACAAAGCAATCTGCACAGAGTTTTCCTCTATACAAATCTATAGTATTTAGTCCACCATTCCCTTTAGAATTGACAATGACTTCAGTGGAATTGACAAGTTCTTCTGCTAACATATTGAAAGCTGCATTGATGTCTTATGACTACTAGTATCCATTTGTTACATGTAGAAATTCTTCCCAAGGCATGCAGTACATACCAAAATTCATCTTAGCAACTATGAATGATTTCACCAGGTTAGTGAATGACTGAATAGCAAAGTTCTTTATTCACAATTACTTGTTTGACCAGAGCTGATGTTTTGATGACCGTCTGTCATCTTCATCAGGGCATGTCATCTTTATCAAACCATTCCTAATTGCCCTGATGATGATGGCAGTTGACTTTTGTTACAAGGTAACTGAGTGATTGTGAATAAAGAACTTTGCTATTTGATCTGATCAAGTATGGATGATTGTAGAGGTCTGTATAACATTTCACCTGAGTTTAACCTGTGATCATCTTCAACCATCAATGTTCCCTGTGAGCCAGTACCACTTCCGTACACTGTGGCACCAATAGAGTGATACAGGTTAACTAGAGAAGGTAACAAGTTTAAATTGCATTGGCCAGAAATCTAAAATAGACAATTCTGCATTGGAGAAGCCTGTCTCACAATCATTATGAAGACCAAGAGAGAATACAGCGGAATACAGATATTTCCAGCACTTTCATCATTTCATCATTTTTGTTCTTTCCCCTGCTCTCAAACTTTGAACTGGTCACAAAATTACAATATTTAACCAGCAAACTATAACTTTGGGAAGTGCACATTGCATCAATGTCTTCTTCATTTCTATACATACATTTTAAGTGTTCTTACATGTAGGCATGTATGTCGCATTGGCAGTGAATAAGGCAATCTGTGTAATACATGTACTACAAACATATTCCACAGTTAGGAACTCTGCATTATAACTGTATGGACCAGAATGATTTGTAAAAATGATAAGTGCTGGAACTTCAAGTAAACAGTGCTTGCATATGGTTGAACCAAAGCTTAAGCATTGCAATCTACAACTAGAAAGGTAACATTTGCAAAGCAAATGCATAATGTTTACCTTCACATGGTGAAGTGTGACTAACTAGTGCTCTGTTCATTCTTCCTCAAACACATTCATATATATGGTGACCAGCCCATCCAACTTGCTACATAATGTACACCAAACACCACAAGGTATCTGCTACAGCACCAGTTACCATGGTGACAGCCATCTGGTCCAGGTCATTTACCATATTTGCTCAGAGAAGAAAAGCGAAAAAACAATATGCTCTCCTTCTGCAAAGGTACATGTAAAGTTATATAACATAAAAAGTACAAGGTATTGGTCAGTTCTAAATATGATTTCATTTCATAACCAAATATGGTGCTTCTAAACATTGGCTAGGAATACAATGTATGTCACTATTTAAGCCAATAATGCTAAAATGATATGAACTGGACCTACCAGAAATATATTCAACTTTTCACAGAATTTCAATTGATTTATGGCAAATTGCCAGACCAGCAAATCATCTAAATGCAGGTTGATATAATTACTGCTCTCAAATATAATACTGGACCTCATTCATATCCTATCTTGATACATCTTTAAAGCAAAATAAGGCAATCAGGTAGCACATACATGTAGAAGGCCAACAGTATGTACATCAAATTTTGTAACCTCTATATGTTATAGTCGTGTCTCCAGTAACATTGAAAAATGAAGGTTTGTATCATAACAGACATCAGAATTCTCCTTGGTATGCAGGGTTTGTTCTTATATTAAGTTATAATAATTCTGTGGATCGTGATGACAATTTAGTGAAACCAGGCTTATCTACAAAATCTAACTGTAGTACAACAAAATACAGAATTCAAAAGAAACTTGCTCATTATCAGTATATTATACTCTTAGGCCACACCAATTTAATTTGTTGGTTCTCGGATTTTTTCAGAAAAAATATGAAGCGACAGGGCGGAAAAAAATAAAAATAAAAACAGGTCTAGGCATCCTATTATAGGCTTAAATGCTACAAAATGAGCCATGAAGTCAACACAAAAGGCTGGGTTAAAATTTAAACATTGAATTTTGAACTTTTAATCAAACCACTGCAATGATAGATGGGAACACTGTAATAACTAGGAAGAAAATGACTTTCCTCAACTGTTGGGGGCAAAACATGAGCATTTTTCAGTTGATTCAGGACCAGAATCTTTTTTTTTTTTTTTGCAAATCAGAAAAAAATGAAGAGGCGAATCCGAGAACCAACAAATTAAATTGGTGTGGCCTTAGACTAATATATTTGGTATTCAAAACCAAAAGTGAAGGTGAAATTTCCACAATACATGTAATAAATTAACCTGAAAATCATTTGTAATTGCTCTAGTGAAATAAATAGAGAACAAAACATCAAACAATCATAAGTACACATAGTTCTGTGAAAAAACTTCATCAGGTAGTATATATGCTATTTGAAACTGAACATTCTTTTTAAATGTTGGTGAGAGAAGACCATCAGTGGTTGTTTCCTTTCAAACAATAACTAAGTAGAAGATGAAAATGATTCTTACTCATTCCTGAGAATGATCAAGTTTTGGTCCGTGGTCATAATTATGTGAGAAGTTTTATACACTGTTTGTGACTAAGACTTATCCACCTTGGCTGTGGTGTTCTTGTGGCGCAGTCTCATGTGGTTGTCGAAGTTGTGCTGCGCTGCGAACGAATGGTGACATATCTTACACTTGTAGGGCCTGTTCATGTGAACGCTGCTATGCCGTACCAGGTGGCATTTCGCGCGGAATTCTGACCCGCAGTCTCCGCAGATAAACGGTCCCTGACTGGTTGAGGGCTTCGCGCCGTCACCCTGACCCACCTCGGCCTTAGCAGCGGACGCAGAAGGCACGTTGGTCCTCACCGCCCGGTTTTCCTCTGGCGTTGTTGTTGTTATTGTTACTATTATTTTCTCCGTTGTTTTTCCCTGCGGCTCCTTTACTAGACGGTTCTTTTCCTCCGCTTACTTTCTTTGCAATCCCTTCGATGGCGTCAAAAACCTTCATCTCCTCATTGTAGTCACCCCCAGGCCCTTGCCCTGCCATTCCTGCTTCCTCCTCCCCCTGTGCCAACAGTTCTCCTCCGTTTCCAAAATTAGCGCCCTCTGGTGGCTCAGTGGGGCTTTGCAGCTCGTCGCTCATGGACCTCATGATGTTGAGGATTTGGGAGCTTTCGCCATTTCCTTGGACGTCACCCTCCTCCGTACCGTCTTCTTTCATCTGCGAACGCTTCTTCTTCCACCAGAAGTTCCTTTTCTTTCTCCTTCCACCCTTCCAGCCGATCACTCGCTTCTTTTTCATAGGAGGAACGCCGCCTTCTTCGGAGGTGTCACCGTATTCCTCTAACCCGGTGTCCTCTGTTTCTGTTGTTTCCAACATTGAGTCTTCTGTAGTCTGTCCTTCTACTGGTGCCGGCTTTCTGCCTTTGCTTCTCTTCTTCTTCAGAGGTGGGAGAGCGCCGGGGTTGGCTGCGTCGGCCCTCCCCTCGGCAGCTGCCGCAAACTTCTTGTCACATGACTGCTGGTGCTTCCGCAGGCTGGCCAGGTAGGTGAACGACCTCTTGCAGTTGGAGCACATGTGCTGTTCCTGGAAAAGGTAGATGGCAGATAATTAGGTCAGGGGTTTATCTATTGGGGAGGGTTTGTATGTACAGAGAGGCTTCTTCAAAGAAAAATTGTTGTTTGGGGGAAGGTACATACCGGTACAATTATAGTTACTGTATCTTTACATTTTTCTTTATTCATTTGAAATTTGGCGAGCTACCATCAAGCCCCAGCATCAGAGTGCAAGTCTAACCCTCAGCTATGGGGAACAACAGACAATAAACCGGACAGAGAGCTGAGAGATTTGAATCAACATAGCAGAAATATAGGGTAGTGAAAAATAATGTAGTGGAGAAAAATAACTGAAAAGAGCTGTACAGTCTGTTGGTTTGAATGTATACTTCAGAGTTGGTCTAAGGTAATTCGAAAAGGTGTAAATTCATCTAAACATTAAACATACAAAAATCTAGCATGCTTTTCATGAATGATAGGCAAAATATTGAATTAATTTGTTGAGCGGGATCACCTTAAGCTCCCTGGATTTCTCGTCTTCCTTCAAGGCGCCCAGGTGAGCGTCTAAGACGTCCTTGTCGATCTTGTCCTTCCCCGGGCACACCAGCAGGTGGCGCTGCAGGTTGCTGAAGTGGCTGAAGTTCTTCTGGCAGCCGGGGCACTTGTGCAGGTCCAGCATCTCAGTAGCCAGGCGGCGACGGCCCGTGTACTTCTTAGGGTCATAGGAGATCTGTAACAGTCGTTAACAAAAATTCTCACATTAAAATCCCCCGGGAAGTATTCATAATGCATCATGATGATCTGCAATGTTACAAGTAATGCTTCAATAAAAAGACTTGTGCAGGTCCAGCATCTCCGTAGCCAGGCGGCGACGCCCCGTGTACTTCTTAGGGTCACAGGAAATCTGTAACAGCAGTATACAATATACTTTTTTGAAAAACTGGGCAACCTACGGCAAAATTAGGTTGCGAATTTTAGGTTGCCCCACCGATAAGTTACTACTTTCCTCAAATTAAGTAATGTTACATGCATAAGCCTTTGACAATATTTCTAACAGCCTTTAGCTAACTGATACTAGTAATAGCCATTAATACCTAAAATTAAAAAGCATCTGCCGGATACAGTGGTGCAAGCCAAGTGGGTATGATGGGGGGGGGGCATTCTTAAAATTCAGGTAGCACACTGGGCTACCTAGGTTCAAAAATAGGTTGCCCCAAGTAAAGTTTGGTTGCCCAAGGCAACTGGGCAACCAGGTATTTTGCACGCTGGTAACAGTAATTGATTTGATTTGATTTGATTTATTGAAATATACATGTGGAACAATTTAAGGCAGCTGTTGCTTGAGTTGTGTCCCACACATAGAACAAATCTAAGACAGACATTACTCATTTTTACTGGAGTTAAGTGAGGAAAGTCTTGTAAAAGTGCCTTTCCCTGGGGAACAAGAATGGTGGCATGTCAGGAATCAAACCTGGGACCTCTTGGTTCTGAGTTGAGCACTCTGAGTTGCTATTATGCCACGGCCCCTGACCATGTATAATATTAGATGTATATGTATAAATATACAAGCGATTCCTTTGTACTTAACCCAGTGGGTATTTTTGTACAATGAAGGTCTTCATAAATTAATTAATTTTCACCTGAAACTGCTGAGCCTTCTTTCTCTTCTGGTTCATGGTGCTGAGGTTCTTGGCCTTCTTCTTGATCTTGATCGCCGCCATCTCTCCGTCAGTCAGCTTGCGAGGCCCTCCCAGCTTCTTGACCAGGCTTCCCTGGGCAGCCTTGTTTGGGGAGCCTTTCTTGGCTGGGCTGGGACCAGGAGAGCTCTTCTTACCTTCTGCACAATCTAGACAAACAGAACACATGCAGATGTACCAGGTCCTGCAACTCTTGGTGATACTATATGTTTTTAAGACTCGGTTAATTATTCATAAACAATCGTGTGAATGTCAGACTACCTTCTGCACAATCTACACAAACGGAACATACACAGATGTACCAGTCCTGTAACTCTTGGTGATAACATACATGTGACCAATGTTATTTGCCAACTTACAGTACAGTACATGTATATGTTTGACAGATTTAATTTGATAGCAGTCTACCCAGTTGCAGTGGCTTCTTCCTGCACAATTAAGGTTCAATGACAGTCAAGACATAGAAGTCTCACCATTTCCTCAAGTAATCAACAATAAATCAATCAATTAATCAACCAATCAATCAACCAATCAATCAATCAATACGCCAAAAAGCAGTTACTCAAGCAACTGGATATGATTTTGAAAACATCAGACGTTTCAGCTAGTATCCACTAGCTTTCGTCAGTGACTGAGAGACGAGAGGGGAAATGCAGGTTCATAAGCACAACCTATTGATTGATATGCAAATAAAGTGAAGACAATAAATCAATAATTCAATCAATCAATCATTTTTCTACAGTGCCCGGCCCATATACTACAAAAGCATGCCTACATGTACAACATTCTTAAGTTCTAACAGCACCTCACAATGAAAATACTGCAGCTGTAGTACTAGCAAATAAATGTTTGAAGACCACACTACTCACCAATGATGTGCATGTGTAGGTTTGGCATGCTCTCGAACGTGGCCCCACATTTGGTGCACTTGATGGCGCTGTTGTACACTGATGTCTGCAGCTGCGGCGGCCTGTTGAAGGGGTTCTCAGGGTTGATGATGTTCATGGCATATCCCGCAAAGTTCCTCTTGATGTCCTGCGACGTGTCCACCGGCTTGATCGGGGAGATCTTCCCCTTCCCGTCCAGTTGGTCCTTCTTCGGAGACTGCATGAGGGAACCGAACTCAGTTTGGCGCTTCAGCTCCTCTTTCTTGGGAGTGGACTTGCTCGGGTCGGTGAAGTTTTGTGGGCGCAGGGCGCCGGGCTGGAGCACGGTGTAGCTGCAAGGCATGTTGGGATGGACGTCCCTCTGGTGGTTCTGCAGGTTGCCAAGGAAACCGAACTCGCGGTTACACAAGGAGCACATGAACGTTTTGCTGACGCCGTGAAGAGACGCGCGGTGCTGGGACAGCTCGGAGGAGACCTTGAAGAGCTGGATGCAGAACTCGCACTTGAAGGGCCACTCCTTGGCGTGTGCCGACACGTGCTGGTTCATGTCCTTCATGGACTTGAACGGCATGTGGCACACGTTACACTTGAACAGGTTTCCCAGGCCGAACGTCGGGCTGGCGCCACGGCCCGCAGCAGAATTCGCAGGGCTGGAACCGGAGACGTAGGTGGAGGCCTTCTCTATATACTGCGGCACTCTGCTGATGTACGAAGCCACAGCGTTGGGATCGGACAAACCTACACCAGGAGGAGACTGTTGTTTTGCGGCGTGGGCAGGCTGCGTATCCGCCTGTTTCTTCCCGCTGAGATCCAGGACACCGTCGTCTGTAAACACCAGCTCTTCTTTAACCATCTTCTTCAACGGTGCCGACAGATCCAACGGCTGATCACTGTCAACCATGTGAGAATAAAGCTCAGGACTGGATTTTACCCTGTGGGGTTGGCTTTCCCTTGACAAAGACTTGCCCTTTGACCATGCTGCACTTGGCATCTTTGCACCTTGACTGCTACTAGAATGCTGATGTGATGGGGAAGACTGAAACTGTTGCAAAGTTGGCGCGGACAGACCAAATGGGCCTTGGGCATTTGAGCCATAGTGGACAGTTCCTGCCCGGCTAGCCAGGTAACTGAGCTGCTGCGAACGGATGTTCTGAGAGGTGCTGACCATCCTGTCCGGAAATGAGGCAGCGTACATCTTCTGGAGAGCTGGGGAGTGTTTGGCAACTTGTGCGATCGTGGGAGTCCGGGAGGCGGTGTGTTTTGGTTGCTCTTGCTGCGGTGCAGCAACGTTCCTGGCCTGCACAGAGGGAACCCTTTTCCTCGGACCGGCCCCAGCCGCCGCCCCCCTGGCCAGGAAACTGGCCCTCTGTGCCATCACTACGTTGGGCGGTGCGGGCCCTCTTGGACGCTGTTTTTGGCGATGCATCGGAGACAACTGCTGGTCCCCAACAACTACGTTTGGCGGTGCCCGACCTCTCCCGCGTGGCTCTGGGTGGTGCATGTGGGAAAGTTGCGGGTCTCTCTGGCCCTGCGACTGCTTAGCAGGAGGGGATCGGAGCGGCGGACTGTCAGTTCTCCTGTTGCTGCTGGATTGGTGAGGCGGCACCAGCGGGCCGGAGTGAGCCGGCGGTGGCTCCAGCATCCTCCTCCCTTTCCCTGACATGTACTGGGGACTGCCGTACGGGGGGGATGTGATCTGCACTGCGGCGGCACCTTGCCGAGAGCTGCCCTGTGTGTACGGACTGACGGCTCCAGGGACCATGCCGGGTGACTTCATGTGCCTAGGGCCACGATCGGGGGTTCCTGTTGGCGGCCTGACGGCACGAGGAACGTGGATCTTCACTGTATGTCCAGACCGAACTGGACTCTTTTTCTTTGATGAACTGCCATCAACAATCCGCTTGGGGGACAGCTTTCCGATGTGGTGATGCTCCTTCTGTTCCAGCCTCCCGTCCAGGTACTGTGCAGCATCCTCGCCCTTTCCTGGGTGAGCGCCGGGTGTACTGGACCGACTCCTGGGAGAATCCCCCTGCCCAACTCTCTTCCTCTTCTTCGGTCTCTCCCCCTCCTCCAACAGATCCTCCACGAGTATCTTCTTCTTCCGGATGATCTGGTCCCTCTCGTGGGCTAGCTTTCTATGGCGAGTCATGTTGGGGTGCTTGGTGAACCGCTTGTTGCAGATTTCACATACAAATTTCCCCGTTTTCCCTTCTTCTTCTCCTTCCATCTCATTCTCCTCATCAAGATCTTGTTTGTCAGCATCACTGACAGCCTCTGGTGTTATGTCCAATGAAGTGTCTTCTTTGGGTTCCTTCTCTGCGTCACTTTGGCCGTCTTTTGTTGGCGTAGGCTCCTTGACGCTTTCTGGATTCTCTTCGCTCTTCTTCAGACAGAGAGTACTCTGAGGACTGGAGCCATTTTCCCGGCTATCCTTTTCAGACTCGCCTACACTGTCTGCCTCCCATTTGCCGTGCTGAGACATCATGTGCTTCTTCAGGTCTCCCTTTTGTATGAAGGCGTGGTCGCACTCCTGACACACGTGCGGCTTGTCTCCCGTGTGCAGGCGCTCGTGGCGACGCATGTTCGTGGAGGTGGTGAACTGCTTCCCGCAGTGCCCGCACTTGTATGGCTTCTCCCCGGAGTGGGTCCGCAGGTGCCTCTCCAGGCCCTGCTTGGTGGAGAAGTTCCTCCCACACTGCGTGCAAGGGAAAGGTTTGGGCACGACTTGTTTAGCAGGATCACTACTGCCCTTCCCACTTTCATCGCCTTTTGCAACACTGCTGCTTTCCTCGTCAATCACGAGTTTCTCGTCGTCTGATGTTTCTTCTTCCTCCTGCTTCTTCCCAGGCGTTTCCTGCTGCTGCTTCCGTAGCGATGCTATAGGTAGGTCGTCTTCATCCGGAGTCTCTGACTCCTGCTCCATAGACGTGTCCTCAGCTGTTTCTTCAGATAACTCTGTGCCAGTATCGGCCTCTTGGGAGTCGTCGTCTGTTTTGGCTTCACTCTCGTCGAGGGTTGTTTCCTCAATGCTTGTGTCAGCAGTAAGGTCCTCCTGTGAGCTGGAGGACTTGTTTTCGGTCACTGATGCTTTCCCAGCCTTCCCTTGCTTTCCTTTCCTCTTCTTAACTACTTTTCCTATAAAAGGTACAGAAAACTTAGCTATAGCATGTACACTTAATGTAAAAATGCATCATGGCACAAACAAACAAGCAAACAAATATCATAAAATACTGAGAAAGTTGGAATTCACCTATTTTATGTCCATATAACATTAACAATCACTCATGTCTTCAAACCTATTCAAAGAAGACTTACCGAATATCTTTGAAGATTTGGACTTCTTCTTTGCTTTTGGTTTTCCAGCGTGTTCCATTGCCAGTTCCTGTTGTGCTGTATCGGATGAGTTGAACCAACACAACAGCTCTTCTCCTGGCTTGATCTCCTGTTAGCATGGAATAACCACACACATATCCATTGAGATTACTTGACAACAGTAACATGCAATGTTTGTAGCTATATACAGGTATATCATATCAAATAAGATTATACAATAGCAGACTTAGACTTACATTGTATAATTAGGGGCTAATGTGTTGCAATAAGAGCAGTGCATCATGTTTTGATAGACAATAGCAGACAGCCTCTTACCTTATATAATTAAACATAACTTGAAAATCCTATCTTGCTTTATAATGTTTATCCTCACTGAGTCATGCCTAAGACTTCAACAGGTACATAATGCTTTCTCTTCTTAGCACTTAGCATTTGGGAATTTAGAGTACAGTATTTGAGCACGCACTACCAGTGGACTACTAGTAGCCTCCTGCTATAGTGCTTGTACAACTGTGTGGCCCAGGGCTATAGAACAGGAGATGGCACCGCCCTATGCAAAAGAACAGTACTACATATCAAGAGAAATTTCCAAAGACTTAAACGGGTACATACTACTTTCTCTTCTTAGCAATTGGGAATTTCGAGTATGGTACTTGAGCACACACCATTACCAGTGGACCAGTAGTATCCCTCTGCTATACTAGTGCTTGTAGAACTGTGTGGCCCAAGGGCTATAGAACAAGAGATGGCACCACCCTATGCACCATCTGGTGCATAACAAACTTAGTACATGGGCATGCCCTTACCTTGATGGTTTTGTAGTAGATTCTCTGGTGCTGCTGAAGGGCTACAATGTTTTGTTCCTCGAAGTACCGGGCACTGTTCACATAACGCATCCAGTTGCCCTTGGTAGGGTCGGAGGCATCCACACAGAACCAGCCTTTTCCTGTACGGATCTGAGAGAGAAAACTTCTGAATGAGCTGAGCCTTCTTCCTGCTACTAAATATATGTATTACCTTACCCTGATAAATATATAGCCAAGACAAATTTGATGCCAAATGGCTACCTTAGTAGGCTGAAGGTTGTTTTATTGGGCCACACCAATTTAATTTGGTTGGAGGATTTTTTTTCAAAGATGCTTAACTACAGAAACCTGGTAAAAACAAAGCCTGATGAACAGGGTTATGCCTTGATGCACTGAGTGATATTCAACCAATCAACTAGTGATATTCAACTATTCCTAGTTTCCCCCTGCTATTATGATGTAGATGTGCTATCATTTCCCCTTAAAATGTTTGAGAACTGGAAATAAGTTGGTGTGGCCTCACCTGAATGCTTATCATTGCAAGATGACCCCAAGATTTCTTCTAGATTATTCTTAAAAGCCCTTTTATGGAATCTTAAGTATGAATGGCATGGAGATGGTTTCTGAAGGTCAAGGTCATTTCTTGAGCAAAGCAATTAGCAATGGTACAATTAAGTTGCTGAGACTCCTATTGACAGAAAACCGTTCACAAATACACTGCGCAAATGATTAAGATCACTTCAAGATTCACTCTAAGATCACCCAACATTTGTGAGAGTAGCTGATTTACATTTGAAGGGTACTCAGGCTGGATACATTTGTAGACATAGATGTACTGAGATCAATAAGAGTTATGTTTACAACTGCAGATACAGTGATAAGGCCATACCAATTTAATTTCTTGGTTAACGGATTTTTCTAGAAAAATAATGGAGCGGGCGGGCAAAAAAAATAAATAAATAAAAACAGGCCTAGGCATCCTATTATGGCCCAAAATGGTACGATAGGAGCCATGAAGTCAACACACCAGGCTGGTTCAAAATTTAAACAATGAATTTTGAACTTTTATTGTTTTAATGATACCATTGCATTGAAACATGGAATAACTGTAACAACTACTAGGATGAAAAGGACTGTTTTCAACTGTTCAGGGCAAAATATGCCATTGAGCATTTTGCAGTTGATTCTGAATTTTTATTTTAATTTGCAAATCAGAAAAAAATGAAGCGGGCGAATCTGTTAACCAAGACATTAAATTTGTGTGGCCTAATGGTTGATATTTAAAAACCCATGTCTGCTATTTCCTGTTGTAGATTGTATGGTGTTTGTACATACTTGTATATACATGTAGTGTGCTTCTGTGTACTTGTCTTGTTTCGTTATCTTAACCAATTGTAAAAATCAAATACACAATTCAAGCACGCATTTCCTGCTAGTGTACAATTTTGTTTGATTGAATAGATTGGTTGAAAATACAGAGCCCAGTGAAGAATAAAAAACACACACACCTCCCACATGTAGTCAGGATTTGTGACTTGAGACTTCTTCTTCTTCTCCCCTTTGAAAGGTCCATACTTCACTCCTTTAGGAATGCTCCGTTTGCACCACACTCCTGTAAAATGTATAAAAAAAAAGAGTCACACTCAACTACTTTAAATATGTGCGCAAACACTAAAGCTTAGAACACTCTATCAATCAAAATGAGTAAGGATTACTAATAAAAATAAAAGTGTGACTCAGTGTTGGCTCAGTCAACAGGAAGTCTAGGAAAATGGTAAAAAAACAGCAAATTCCAAAGGAAACTAGTTAGTATTAATGAGAAATTACGAGACAATTACATGTATATTATGTACGTTACTAGCCTCTACCAGGCACCGCGGATCGCTGGAAAAATAGTAGAAATTGGCCGAAATAAAGGGATAGTATACCAGAGAAGATCCAGGGCCATAGAAGCTTCAATTTGCGACCCACGGAGCCTGTGCGGGGTCGCAAGCTTCAAACGATATCAAATTAATCCCCCTATTATCCGTGGGTCGCAAATTGGAGCTTCTATGGTCCTGGATCTTCTCTGGTATACTATCCCTTTATTTCGGCCAATTTCTACTATTTTTCCAGCGATCCGCGGTGCCGGGTAGAGGCTAGTAGGTTACTTGGAGAAACGGAGACTGCGAAAGGCTGCAGCACAAACTGCACCTTTAACTACACAGCACACATGCAGTGTATGCAGCTGGGTCTACAAAACCAAGGCCAGACTTTCGAGTCACAAAAGATTCACCCTTGGCGTGAACCAGATAGTCTACAATAGACTGCCAACTGCCAAAGAAGAAGAAACTCATAATCTTTGAATCACTTATGCTACATTTCTTACCATTTTTTGTAGATACACCCGATCGCTTGACCTCCAACTCAGCTGGAATAACCATTGAGTCCGGTACAGCATCGAAGTCTATGGCAGAAGAAGCCATCTTGACACATCTACAGGCCTAGGTGGAAACAGAAGAAGCAAAAGTTACTCAAAGGGACCATCTAAGATTTTTATTTATTTTTTCTTATATTCCAACATATAATCACAAGACGTGGTGACGGCACACTCAAGTTTTTTCAACTTGGCACACTCAAGTTTTTTCAACTTATATTGATGCCGCCACCAACACAGGACAATGCAATACTAGTACTCATTTTCACCTGAGCAAAGTGAGGAAAGTCATGTAAAGTGCCTCTCCCAAGGGCACAAGATCGGTGGCATGTCAGGACTCAAACCCGGGACCTCTTGCTTCCGAGTCGAGCACTCTGCCACTAAGCCATGGGACCCCATGATTTTAATTTCTATTTTACTTAGCGGCAAACTGTAATTTCATTTACATAATATACTCTAAGTTAACAACTTATGAAGCTTGGGGAAATATAGTTGTTGGATTTTAAATACTTGGTATTACTGACAGATAATACTTGACAGTTTTTATTCTGATTAAATATCATTTAGCCTAATATACTGCCATTGGCAATATGTTGCCCCTGGATAAATAAATAAAATGAAATGAAATATGTGTACTTAATATTGTGAACACCCTGGATTGAGAATATTGTGAAAACAAACACAATGAATCTAATCATCATTAAAGGACAAGAATAGTTTTGCTTAACTTAATACACAATCATGCAGTCTCTAAAGTCTTGTTGGGGTCGTGTACATATATATGTGGCGTAGAGGTAGCCTGTTCGGCTCAGGACCAATAGGTCCCGGTTCGAATCCTACCGATGTTACTGATCTTGTGCCCTTGAGAAAGGCACTTTACACGACTTTCCTCACTTCACTCAGGTGAAAATGAGTACCTAGCTTCAGTTAGCTAATAGGGACGTCCCTCGGATAGGACGTTAAATGGAGGTCCCGTGTTTGGGAGAGCCACACCCCACGCACGTTTAAGAGCCCACAGCACATATCGAAAAGAGAAGGGGACCTTCCCGGTGTGAGTGGTTCAAACCTTACAGTCTGGTCTCTGGTTTGATATCTTGAAGAGGTGATAGTCACTTGTTATGTCAATCCTTCCACAAATGTGGTATATCTTCATAAATAAATAAGTATAAACATGTGGAATTTTCAAGTTTTATATTGAAGAAAATAAATCTTGATCATAAATTTGCTGTTTTCTTGTTGTATCCAGTAGTAAATGAGATACACGACATTTGTGTGGCCTGAATGGTATTTACAATCATTAGACAAGTCATTAATAATTACCGCTAAAATATCCTGCCTTGTTGATGGTAAGATAGACTTAGGTCATGAATATTTCATAGCAAGAACAATTATCTTATTTTAAGTTATTACCTATAAGATAGCATTTCTTTTCACATATTGAGTGTCAATATCTATACTATATAATCTCTGACTTACCGGTTAGTTAGTTTGACAAAATTGTATTTCTCAGTTTCAACGTACAAGAGACTTGTGATGCCTTTGATGTTAAATATAATGTAATATAAAGTACTCGTCAGTATACTGTTCCTTAGCCTGGGTGCCATCCGATTTTTTCTAGCTTTGCAACCTACAAATAGATTCTCAGCCAACCGTACCCTGACCTGGCACCAAAGACTGTACCTTTGTACCATCTGCAAGTGAGGAGTTTGATTCCCACCCTCTCAGTAGGGTTTAGAACTGTTGAACTCTGTGCAGAGATATACTAAATGGGCAAACAACATAGCCACATGCCATCTATGTTCCCTTACAATCTGTAATCCTCTATAGGCCAGTAGCATTCAATTTGCCACACTCTGTGTAAGCTCTACTAACTAATGCACCAATAGGCATGTTACGTCTGTCCAAAGAGTCTTTCTGCCTGGGGCAAATTCCAATTGTTCAACAAAACAAATGCCCACACACTACATTCTTCTGCATAATTCCTGACTTTGCTATTACAGGGCTTGAAATTCATTTTTGGGAATAGGTGCACTGGTGCACCCAACGGTCCTAAAAAATTGGGTGCACAAAAAGTTTTTTGGGTGCACCATATAAAATAGAATAAGTAGAATGCTAGCAAACACTAATTATGTTTCATTTCTAAAGAAAAGTACTAAGTGTCATAAAAATATTAAATTTTTTATGACACTTAGAATTTAAGAACATGCTTTATACTACTATACATCTTTACATAGGTCCTATAAAAATATTTGGGTGCACTGGTGCACCCACAAAAGAAAATTGGGTGCATAGCTCCAAATTTGAGTGTACTAAGGTGCACATGCACCCAGTATTTCGAGCCCCTCTATTATATAACACCACGTTCTTCATGACAGGCTCTTTTACAATGTCCAGAGGGGCTCGTTGACACAATTAATGAAAAAGATCTTCATTTCGCTTTTTGATTCTATATCATTGTCTTAATTACAAGTAATTACTAATGATCACAATGGCAAAATAAAGCATGATTTCCCTTCTTTCTGTCTCCCTCTCTCTTTGCCAATCTCTCATAATCAGCCATATGTATGTCCTATGCCTATTATGAAATATGTGTGAGAGTGCATGCACAGTTTAACAGGATGGGAGTCACAGTAATTACAGCTACTCACAAAGTTATGTGTGTAAATGGGTAAAAGGATTATAGCTATCATCACAAATCATGCTTTTGGCAGTTTCATGACTAATAGAACTAGAAGCAATCAGATATACATCTACATGCTTAATTATGCACACTCTTAGGACATACTGAATATTGAGTGATTGAGAAAGGCAACATTCTAGCCTGTGATGTCCAAACAAATTTAGCCAGAGCATGTCAAAGTTGACCACGTCTTCTCTTGATATGTAGTTCTCAAACAATCCGATTTTTGAAATGCAGTCCCTGTAGTGTTGTGATACAGGGATGCTAGGCTTAAACCTTAATTTGCCCTTGGCTTAAAATATAAAGAAAAGGCAACATTTTAGCCTGTGATGTCCAAAAAAATTTAGCCAGGGCATATCAAAGTTGACCACGTCTTCTCTTGATATGTAGTTCTCAAACAATCCGATTTCTGAAATGCAGTCCCTGTAGTGTTGTGATACAGGAATGCTAGGCTTAAAGCTTAATTTGCCCTTGGCTTAAAACTTAATGGTTGTCAAACATGTAGAGATCTAGGACACTGTGGTGATATTATTGAGCTCAACCCCTTCAGGGTTCTACGTAACATTTAAAACTGTTTATAGGAATTATCTTAGAGTAATAGCCCAAGGAAATGGCATGCCTGTTGTGTGTAAAAATGTTTTTCTTCCTGTCAATGTCTGACAGTGACTGTCGAATAGATTTAGAATACCGGGTAATTCCTTTTGGCACATGTATACATGTACGTAGGTCTTGGCCTAAATTTGGTGAAAACAGTGAAGTTGGGATTTCTTCAAAGCTATCCTAAAATCATTTTTTTTGCAGTTTAAGCAATAATCTTGAGAAACTACTTTCCGGACAAGCTTCTGATACCATTTTCCTAAGGACTCACTTTTTCATGCAAGATTCATGCATGTACTGTGGCTGTAACCTAGATGTGGATATGGTGTAACTACTGAATGGCACCTAGCCTGGAGACCACTCTCTATGTGCCAGCTGCAGCTTCTTTGAGCATTTCGGCTTTCAGTTTGTCGGCACAGGCCTTTGCTCTCAGACTGGCAGTTGATCTTTCAGCTGACTTTTCTAATTACTCATTTAGGCCCGATTTACACGTGCGCGTTTTGTACAACAGATTTTTTAATCGTGTAAACAACCTCCGCCAGAGACGCGCGGCGGTTTTGTTGTGGCACCTCCTGGACATGCCACAGAAAAATGACGCGCGGCGTTGGTTGTTTACACGATAAAAAAATCTGTCGTACAAAACGCGCAGTGCGGTGCCCCGCGCGTGCTCGCGTCGTTTTACACCCAACACATATAAACAACGCACGTGTAAATCGAGCCTTACTGTCGTCGTGGAATTGAAACCCCTATAGTGTGTGCTGGGTGGAAGGCTTGGCGTGCAGGCACAGTCTTAGCAGCACGTCGTCAGAACGTACTGCGCCTGCGTGGAACCCCGATTTTTCACGGTTTTCGTTGGATTTTTGGTCAACGTTGCATTAGAATTTTGCCTTTTGCAGACCATATTTTTTCCGACATAACATTTGGAAACTACAGACGGAGTTTTGATCTTATATGCGTGAATACAACCTTATATGGGACGTTCTGTCAAAGTGCTATGCACATTATATATTACGGATTTCGCGCAAGTGCAGTAGGTTCTGCCGACGTGCTAGTCTTAGCACCCATTTAGTGATGCATACCGGTTCACTGCACTTGGATGCGGACTTGTAAGAATGTTTAGGTTCAAGTCCAAAAAAACCTAAAAGTCAAGAACCGAGTCCGGACTTATTACCATAAAAGACCATTTCACATACCCCTTTTCTTGAAATGAAAACATTGCCATCGGGCATCGTCAAGTACCGGCCTCCATGTTATGTGGCCAAAGTTTCCCCCAGACAACATTGCAAGGTTTCCAACATGAACCTCTGGACTTGAATATGGACCTTAACCTAAAATTGGGTTTAGGTATGCAGCACTAAGCACCTGGGAGCCACGACGCGTCTGTTTACCAGACTAGACCCAACCTCTCTATGGGTCATTTCTGAAATGGGGCAACTCTCCGTTTTACAACTCTCGACGATAAACAGGGTCATAAATCCGGATCACTGGAAAACTGGCGGATTTGTGGTGGGATCTTATCCAGCGTAGATCACTCTGATTCAACCCAAATGCATGCCAATGGTAGGATAGTCAAAGTCTACTTCAATGTAGAACCCACACTGAGGCCACACCAATTTAATTTCTTGGTTAACGGATTCGCCCGCTTCATTTTTTTCTGATTTGCAAATAAAAATAAAAATTTAGAATCAACTGCAAAATGCTCATATTTTGCCCTGAACAGTTGAAAACAGTCCTTTTCATCCTAGTTGTTACGTATACAGTTGTTCCATCTTTCAATGCAATGGTATCAT